TAATTCAACCAGATAGGCGGCTGAGAGGCGGGGTTTCGTGGCCTAGTTAGAGTTAGAGAGTGATCAGAGGGCATGCGCGTAGGAGAGACGCAGATGCGGCGCCGGTGCGAGCGATCGCCCTTTCAGCCGCCTACATTAAACCAATGGGTACCAACCCTATGAAAACCACTCACCAATGATCATCAACAATGACGTCACGCTTGTCGAACGAGTAGAGTGGACGAGTTGTGCGTTGCCCATCATTGAGCACTGCTCTCCAACTTGCGAATAAATGCTCACCACGGATGTTTACTACTGGAGTGTCCCAGTCGGCTGTGTGTACGATTCGGAGCATATCCTTGAGTACACATTGCTGTCATATCCGTAGTGAGTGGTTGATACTTACCTGTACATTGTTAGAAAGCATCGCGCGGAAGGTAGTAGTAAATCCAGCCATTCTTGCCTCACGATAGCATTGCAGATCTGCTCCACGCATTCCACGCATATTTCCATCATAAGGATTATTCAGAGCAATCAGATGGATCTGAAAAAATTGTTAATATCGCTCAAATTTGGTCCTTCCTTCATCCAAAGTGCGAGCTTACTCACCGAGCGATCTCTATGCATACCGACCTCACTTGGAGGTGGTCTCGGGTGGAATCTCGGTGGAGGAGGAGGTGATGGCTTTTCCCTTTGGTAAGCTAGAACCGGCGGAGCAGCTTCATCTCGTGGATATGCGGAAGGCGTTACAAGCGCAGGAGGAGGATGTCCTGCGTATGGAGCTGGATACCGGGGAGGAGGGGCAGGGTACGGGGGTGGCGCTGGGTATGCTGGAGGTGGAGCTGGTCCAATAAGCTCTCGGCGGGGACCCGATGGAGGTGGACGCGACACTGGTTGTGGCGCTAACGGTGGCGGTCGGGAGACTGGCCGAGCGGTTTCCTTAATGGAATTTTTTCTCTAAGATTATATGATGTGAAGCTATTTGTTTCACAGATAGCTTATCACAACGTAGGAAATTAGGAAAAGATGACAAGACAGCGACATCACGAGCGGTTTGAGGCAAACTAAGGGACGCTAAAAACTAGAATGTATGATTACCAGACGGTCACGCTAAGTGACAGTCCTATTCTATCGATGGCACCATACTATTTTCTGTCCCTTATATGTTCATGCCCTCATAGAACGACTAACTAATGTGAAAACAGTGTGCAATAAGTGCTGGCTGGCGAAAAGCCAACGAAAAACGGTGCCACCTTTGCATACCGTACACCTCTAATGATTTCTAATAGCAAGCTGTATAAATTTGTATGTATACGGTATGCCTGGTATAATGAGAACAGCTCGCAATTACCGTAACTGAGCGCCGTACGCATGGTCGGTGCCGAGACATCGTCTCTTGGTCCCGCTAAGATAAGATCAACATCTTTTAAACAAGCAATCAATATATCGATTGACAAACTCAGTGTGATTATTGACCACGTCACTAATGTAGGGGGCAAGATCACAACATAATCACTAAGCGACAATATGGCCGGAGAACTCGGGTGCACCAGATGAGAAAAAGGATTTTCGCAAAATTTCTGTGTAATATGAGCGCACGCGAAATCTCCAAAGAGGCAAGTGTTTAATTTTGTGGCGTGTTGTGTAGCATCGCACTTGCATTATATGATTTTTGAAAATGTGACCGCACAACTGCACAACATTACTTACCCAGTATTCCAAATGATTCGACTGCAAGTCAGGCTCAACTATTATCGGCTAAATGGAACAGGAATGACATTGTTTTGGCTCCTTTACTCCTTTACTCGTTCTGATTACTTTATTTTTCAAGACTATAGATAAGTCCTTTGCTTCTTTACTTGTTCTGATGTTCTTACTTTTTAGACTAGGGTTTTCCCGCACTTTTTAGTGTCTTTGATCACCAGTGGGACATAGTTAAGGTAAAGGACTTCCTTCTAATCATTCAAGCATAAAGGATGTATATACAAGCATACGTGCGAGAGAGGTTTAGCTTTAGGCTTCGGGCAGAGCAGAGATTTCATCGCCACGCTTCTTCTAAGGCCTCGGGCAGAGTTCACGCGATCTGATCGCCGCGGTTCTCCCAGCAAGACCAACAGTTACGGGTCCGTTGCATGTGAATGATCTTGCATTTCGGTTGTGATAATTAGTCATGATTGGTCGTGTTGGATAGAACTATCACAACCGAAATGCAAGATGATGATGGACTCATTGCTGTTTGTCTTGTTGGGA